AGTCCTTCATTCACCCCACTAAGTGTATTAACCATAGCTAATTACAGACCAACTGAATATGCCCAAAAATACTAGTGGGCCAATACTCCAGCCATCAGCACTACAGAAATCATTAAACCTTCCCTCTGAAAACCCCATTTTACTCATTGTCTCTCAATATGCTATCCTTCTCCTTCTGCAGCGTTCTGACAGCATAAATCTTCATCTGTTCTCCAGCTCTTCTTGTCTACCTAAAACACACATAGGAGGGTATTTAAAGCCCACTTACTAGTAATACAATAATTTATTTTTTTTTAACCTCAAAAATACTTGTATGCCAGCTTCACGGATGGTGCAGAATAACCACTGCTGAAAACTGTTTCCTTCTTACTGGTTATAAGTGGAAACCAGGGCCAGGCTGGCTAAAGCAGGTGCTTTTAGAAATAAGGTGCTGCTACACTTCACCTGGAACATGGATTTGTAATAGTCTGTGGTTAAAGGAAGCCACTTTTCAGGTAGCACCAGTGTCAGCAGTCCTGCCTGAGAACAAGGGTGTGAACTCCAATTTTCTCTCCGAGCGCAAAGACAGCCCTGCAGGCCTGGAATATACTGAAAGGGCTCTGCAGAGGGAACATTGCCTTCAAGCCTCCTCCTCAGTGTATCAGAGAATATCCCTGTCTGGATTTTGGAAGGAGGCATCTTTCCCAAGCAATAATTTACTTAGGATAAAACATATCTGTACACGTTCAATTTCACTAACTCTCTCCAGATGGGAGAGCTGAAGGTTGTTTATAAGCGACCAGGGTTTGGCTTGTTTGACTGAACTGGACACAGATAAAAAAAAAAAGGACTGACATTTCTAGGCTGCACCCATTCCCAAATACAGAAGTTCAGCTAGAGCAGTTCTGAAGTGGAAGAAAACTTTTATAGGGAAGGTTTGCTTTTCTGGACCTGTTTACTCTCTTGCCTGTATCCACAGACATGCTTCATCAGGTTCATTTGATGTGGGACAAGCAGTTTGACCTGGTGAGTCAAATCCAGATTTGGTCAAAATCCGATTGCACAGTTTTCACCAAAGAAGCTGAGAAATCATCTTCAGGTAAGACATCTAGGTTTACGCTTCACAGTTCTTAGGGACAGATCAAGAAATAGAAGTGATGTATCAAATCAAAGCTGGCTTAAGTTTTCTACTCAGTAAAAATAAAGCTCTCAGTATAATGGAAACAAATCAAGTAATTTCCTAAACATCTAGGAACTATTTTAACAGTTAAGTTATTAAAGATTTTCCAAATCAAACTTTATATGCTTGTCCTTATAAATGAAGATGAAATAAACTATGAATTACATAAAAGCTAAACTGACAATGTCTAATACTTGGCCAAGTTAATAACTGCAAAAATCAACAAAGAGAAGGAGTTATGTAAATTCTTGATTTTATAGGCTGAGATGCACTGAAGCTTTCCTCAAGATGTTCTGGTTTTCTTTGTATAAAATTGGAGTTTGCATTCTTTAAACCATGGTTAACAAAACAGAATACATGAATCCGAAATCTTTCAATTCTAAGCAAAAGACTGCAGCGTCATCCAGTTCAGTCCCTTCATCTCATCATTAACAACATAAACTGCACTATCATTTTATTATCTAATTAAATTTGCATACATCTATTGTATGCCTTTCTCTGCAGCCTTTCTGAAGGCAGCGTCCTACACTGTATTCATTGAGCCTCAGTCTCCGGTGGGTACCTGAAGCGTGCGTGAATCCAATCCCGTTTTTTAATGGCGAGCGGAGTTCCTGGTTACAGCCAGCCATCACGCGAAGCAGTGTTATGCAACGGTCATTAACACACGTGTCCCAGCAGTCCTTAATCCTGGGAACTGCGACACCCTTGCTCTTCTATTCTTGGGTCCCTTCACGAGAAAGGCGCTGAGCTGCGCAAGAGGGCACAGCGGGCTCAGGATTCCCTCTTTCCTTGGTGTCCAGCACTTATTATTTTTTCTCCTCTTCTGATGCCGTGGAAACACTGCGTACCCCACATGCACATCCAACAAGCCCCTGCAGAGCTGGCCTAGCTATGACAGATACAGTCCCTTTATAATCGTCCATTCCTGTAAAATGACCTCAAGCATGTTAGACTGATGCTCACTCTCTGGTTGTCTCCATGCTCTGCACTTCACTTCTTGCTCTGTTTCTGCTACTTTTTCCCCCCCTTCGAAGAAGAAAAGCAAAATCCAAAACTCACAATGCAGCCAATTCTTCTCCACTGGCCAACTGGCACCCCTACTCCATAGCAATTGCCTTCACTCTGTCTCACTCCACTTAACCACAGGGTTGTCCTAACAGGTACTTCCACTTCTTGTGCCACATACTGTCTTTTGACAGCTGTCTCAAATGTATGAGATACTAAATTTCAGCTTTCTCCCAACTCCATTAAAATTGCTGTTCAAAATTCCCCAATTCTTTGTTTCTAACATTCTTAGCACTCTTTTGAAACTGAATTTGAGCCATGTACCCCTAACTCATTTACAAATAATAGATGAAGATTGAAAAAAATCCCAGCGCTGTAACTGAGATTTCTTGCCATGATTGCCAGTAATGCATATCAGACTAAGCTAGCAAGGCACCCTTTTCTTTGTCTGAAGAGAAGTGGTCCTCTCTTGGACATACTTGCCATAACTAAGAGTAAACACAGCAGCTGGACACATGGCGCACATAAGGCATTCAGACCCTCAAAAAGCCTTCATCAAAGTTCCAGTAAGAGACATCTACAGCTGGCACAGTCTGAACACCTAACAACTGTCTCAGACTGGCAACCACCTAAAAGACAGAAACCAAAATGGAAATGAATAGCCGATTGTAAATGATGGAGAGTGTTAAAAATGGAAGAGCAGAAATTTCTGAAGGAAGCCTGGCGTTACTACATACGTGGAACTAGAGAAGAAAGGGTTGTTAGCAAGCAAAAAAAGTGTATTAACAAATAATTCAGGTCACCTATGAAAGACAAGAGTTTCAGAAGGGAAAAAACCTGGGGAGATGAGGCAACATGTAATTCAATGTTTGGAAATTCAAGACAGTAATCTGAACTACTCCTATCCTTTACAGTTTTCTAAATTAACTGCATCAGCTTGTAAAAAGATCTGGCCACCAGTGCAGAACAGCAAGTCCCTACAAGAACCTGGTAAAGTATCTGGATACATGAGACAGTGAACAATACAGAAAGTTACAAATTATGTAGTATTAATGTTACTGCACAGGACACCTGGAATATTGTGTGGTATTTAAGTGATCCCATTCCAAAAATACGTAGTGCAAACAGGTCAGGGTGGAAATGTCTATGAGAAAATTCTCAGATAGAGAGAGATGAAAAGACTGCACATTTTTACATGCAGATACAGAGTAGGAGAGACAAGAACTTACTAATCTGTCAAAACAACAGAGGAAAAAATACCATTAACCCTTTCTCAAATTACACAAAACAGAAACAATGATGAACAAAATGAAAGGCAGAAAATCAAAACCTGATGGAATAAATAGGTTTTCGGCTACTGGCACAACTAGCCTGTGGAAATGATTTCCCTAGGATATCGATACATCCAGAAGCTAAAAAGGAATTTCTACAGATCTGGTCACTTGCACACCAAAGAAGAACAGAGATGTAAATATAAAAATTAAATGTAAAATATCTAGAGCTCTTGAAGACAAGTAATTACGTATTTCTGTGTAAAACCAACTCCTGGTTTCTGAGCACAGACAAGAAAATTTCCCCAGGACAACTAGGGAACTACACCTACGAAGAGCAAACAGACTTTGTGACTTGCCTTCCTTTCCAGTTGCTGCTCCCTTGACCAAGAGTAACAGGCCCTGGGCTAAAGACATGATTGATCTGATCCCATATTACTATCTTTATGTGCAGCAATTATCCAGCAACGTAATTTCAAAATGAAAAATTCGCCTATTTCTTCAATCAAAGATCAGGTCATATGACCCCTGCTTGATTCTCTTTCTCTCTCTCTCTCTGCCTCTCTCACACAGGAAGCATTTTCCCACTTACAAACAAGCTCTTTTAATGAAACTCCAGCCATCTGTAATCAGCTTCAATAATCTGAGCTATATCATACCCTGGGCTGTTCTTCTATATTCAAACCTTGTTAGCATGTTTCCATTTTAGCAGGCTGTCAGCATCTCTCTCCCACGTCTATTTAAGCAGCCATCCCCCAGATTTCAGAACAAGCTTGAGGCCAACAGAGAAGACAGCAAGACGAATGGGACTTTATCACAGTCTTCTACGATGGTACTGAAGAGCTGCATAGTGATGACACTAGATAAAGACCTCTCTCCTCTGGTCAACAATTTCAGTACAAATTGAGATACAAGGCATCCAAACCAGACCTCATCTGCCCATCAAAATTCAGATATTCAACCCCTACAGATACTCAAACACACAGTAATGCTGCACTTTATTCTTCTTTTTGTTCACAAAACTTAATACTGGTTAATCACTGAAGGGGAAAGACTTATTAGCACCACAAGTTCTGGATACAATGAAGCCAAATCCCAAGCAGGTATGCTTCCTATAGCAGTGGTCTTGGTGCTTCTCATCAACCTGCTCCTATGAGACTGTTTCTAGCTGAAACCGCGGGGTGCATGAATTCTAGAGAGGGGGCACATGCTGAGCACCAGGGCAGAAGCTGCAATAAATCTGTCCAGGCATCTACTCAGTCTTTGTGTTTCCTTGCTATCTCTTTACACACAGTGTCAAATTGCTTTTTAAAATTTGGCCTGTACCTGGCTGGCATTAGCTCAGGAGCAAACTCAGTTGATACAGAGGGATGAAATGTCTGCTCCGGTCTGTGCCTCTTCCAAGCCACAGCAACCATTCAACAGCAACTGGCTAAGACTACTCCAACCTTGCAACCTGAGATGACTGTGTTCATGGATCCAGTTTCCTCCTCCATGATCAGATCAGGAGCAGGTCACTAGACAACAGACCATTGTAGTAAGTGACAACTGAAACCAGTACTTACTGAGTGGTTTAAGGATGCTGCTGCTTGTCTCATCAGCGTTTTCTACGTCTGATTTGTCAGAGTAGTTCTCAGAGATTTTCTCCTTTTCTTTCTTTTCTTTATGTCCAGGTCTTCTCCTATGACGCCTCCTTCTCCTATAGCTCTTCGGCACATGGACCCCAATGTAAATAGTGTGATGACCTAGGGAACACAAGCACAGCAAATATTATTAACTTTGACTGCATATAGTTTGTGCATCACTGGCCAGTACAGTTCATGCCACGTTTCATTCCGACAGGAAAGCAAAGTATCTTTCTTTGCTGGTGTAACTATAGTTAGCACTATGTTTCTTGTCTCCAAACATGAGCTAGGAGCTCTTTAGCTACCATTTGGAAAAGTACTTTTTACAGAGTCATTTCTGAGAGTGCATTCTAGTGCAGACTCTCTGATAATTATTCCGTCCTTGTGACTCCTTCACAAATAAAAACCACAGAAGGCCATCATACTCATTTTGCAATACTGAATACAGTGCTCTTCAAAAACATTCTACATTAATTTTTCCATTTGTTTTACCAAATACATCGGCTGGACTTCACACCTACCTTGTGCAAATTGATCCAGCTCAATTGCAGAGCTTAGAGCAACAAAACTGACATCACTTGACTATGCAGTCCATTGTATAACAAGTGTCAGAGTACCATTAGGGTATTATTATAACACAGCAGATGAGGAAGCACTACTAATATAAGTTACTGTAAACTCCTAAGTACCTGACTCTTTCCAAAATAAAAATTTAGTAAAAGAGAAAGTGCCAAATTTAATATGCTGACTATAAACACAAAGCACGCCTTTTCCCTTTCGTATAGGCTTTCATTTCAAACTAAAGTACTTCAACTACATTTGCCAATTGTTATGTCTTTTTGATGAGTTTGATAAAAATGTTTTATTTTCAAGGCTTTGTGCACTTCTACCAACTTTGGATAAACATCTTTCCTTGTGCTTATAGAATGCATTTGCATGTCTTTTTCTGTGCCCAGATAATTCAGACATCTCACTGTAAGCTTTAAAAACATTCCCTTCAGATTTAACTCTTGACAAATAATAGCTGTATTCTATGCTGATGACCAAATTCGGTTTCCTCACTCTTGTCTCAGTGTAGCCAAGCAGAAAGTTTAAGATAAACCCACATGCCCGGTTACTAACTGAAGCACGTTTATCTGAATGAGCCGCAAAGGCACGTTAGAACAAATGTATTTATCTGTAGGTACAGTCATTTACTTCTGCTCACAGCGGAGCGTTTCTGCAGAGCTGTCCCTCTGCCGAGTCACTGTCTCGGGCACCTCACATCCATCTATTCTTAGCATATGCTTACACCTTGCATGAATGCATGGCTATTAAAACCACATGCGAGCATACCAGCTGACATATCCAAGGCACAGGCTCAGATTTTGGAGAGCCGCACTCCATCCTGCAGCACTGTGCCACCCCAACTCATTTGGCGGTGCCTCCCCAGAGAGAGGGGAGAACCCCGAAAAACAGCCTTCAGGTCCCAGCCTCCGTGACTGCTGTGGCTTTGAGCAAGAAGCACAGATAAGATACCCCGCAGTCCTGACTCCACGTATCTCCCCACATAAGATATTCAGCCAAAACACTCTCTTGAAATGCACTCCACAATGCGAAATCACATCACTCCTGAAACCAGAGGACCTTCTCCCAAATGGGTGGGGGCACCCAACAAAATGACGGTGACAGCATCCAACGCCAGAGGGGCTTCTGTGCCACCGGACACAGAGCTCTACAACAGCTCCCCGTGCAGCTCAGACCTGCGTCCACCTCTCTTTTGCAGCAGCCGTAATTCTTATAGCTGAGCAAAAGGGAATAGGTCAAGCGAGTAACAAAAGTCAGGCTTCACTTGATGAAACAGTCATGCACTTTAGAAAGTTAGAGTAAACTGGCCCTTGCCACCGAGGCTTCCCCACTAGTTTTCCCTCATTACAGAGCACACACTGCTCTTTCCTTTCACCTGAAAGCTACTTGCTTTTCAGCAACATTACCAGCTATTTGCAAGACATGGGAAGCTGCTCTGGAAATGTCAGTGCAACAGCAAAGCCAGAGTCTCCAGCCAGCAATTAACTTCACTGCTGAACACGTGTCTCTCATTCCTTGTTATGATAAATTCAATCTTTGTGACTGAACAACTGAAAATTTAGGCACAAAATAGCCCATTTCTGTATCAAACTGACTTTTCAATGAAAAACAGCCCTGCATTTGCCATTTCAAATTCCATGAGCTCTTGAGGCCAGCTGGGAAGTCTGGAGAGCCCTTCACCTTTTTTGCATGTGAATTTTCATACTGAGAAAGCATGTGTGGTCTCTTAAAAAGCTGCTTGCCCAGAGTGGCCCTCCTTGATAGCAACTTTTAAATAGGTAACTGAGCTCCCCAAGGGCTTTGCAAATAACGGCATGATGAGCTGTATGCAAGGATGGGGCCAAAAACTTCTAGAAATAGCTCATGCCCTATGCGTATTACACTTTCACACACTCATCTACATACATGCTCTATAGCTCAGCAAGACTACTGAGGTATACAGATCTCCAGCAGTAGCTCCTTTGAAAAGCAAACACAGAGGACAAACTAGAAATTTTAAATGCATGCTGTTGTTGAGTTACACAAGTATGAAAAAGCATCTGAACAAGGCTTCTTAAATACTGCATTCTTAATTCTCAAAGACCAACAAAATGGAAAAAAAAAAATTTTCTCCAATAGATCACTAGAAAAAACATGTTCATCCCCAGACTGGCACTACGTGTGATACATTTTGGCTCTAAATTAATATGTTATGTTGAAATTGTAATAGAAAGTGGAGGCTTATAAGGAAATTCCCCTCTCCCTCACAGACACAATGCTGTGACAGTGCCTGTGATGGCCCTGAAATGAATCACATCATCGTTCTGGTGGTGAGAGTGCTACAGTAAGCTCAAGTTTATGTACTGGCGGTAACTACACAGATCATACTAAATAAATAAAATGAATATACAGATACAAAGATATATATTGTCTATGATATCAAGAGATAACCTAACAGCTATAAAGGGTTACTGAAAATCTCTCCAAGTGAAGTTACAGTTACTTTTTAGCCAGTATTATCTGAGGCATTAAAACTTCACTACTGCATGTGCATCTCCTGCTGCTGCCGGGCGCCACAGCTGTACAACTGTCCGGTACAGTACCAGACACTAATAACTTGCCATCTCAGGGAGCGGGACAAAAAACGAAACAGAAATCCGCGGTCGAGCAAGGTCCAAAATCAGGCAGCACAACAGTGACAGAAGAAAAGGGACCTGCACGTGCTGCCTCCAGCCCAGCATGCCAGCACCACGAGTTTTGAGAAACGGGCTCACACCACAGAGGGAACGGGCAGAGCCACAGTGCCAAAGTCAGAGACGTCTGCAGCAAGATCTTACAGATAACACCTGAAGACATCATTTAGCTCTACTGTGCCAAAGGAAACCAGGAAAGCTATTCCAGCAACTGCAAATATCAGCTTTAACATGGCAGATGGCATAAATGATGCGTAGGGACAGAGAAGGGGAAATCTTCTCTGAGCACAAGCAGGAGCCGTAGGGCAGGGGTGGCCCTGGGACAGCCAGGGCAGCAGTAGCCGTTCCGAAGGCATTCTTACAGCCAAGATCACATCCAAAATCCAGATGCAAAAGGATGGGGCGATTCCGGTATCTGTATTAAAACAACATACTCCTTTGAATCACTTTAATTCTGCGGTCAGCTTAATAATGGAAATACATCATAGTAAGCCTGTAGTCTTAATACTTTAATATGCTGCCAACAGAACTGGACAATCTCTTTAATCTTTTGACCACGTGTGCACAGTACAGATTTTGGTGATATGAAAAAAGTTGTATACACTCAGGCAAACATCTGCATTACCTAGCTGGTTTTCCCTATTCTGCAAGAGAGAGACCTCTTTAGTGTTGCTTTTTGTCTTCCCTCCCTCTACCTTCCAGTCTGTTCAGGGAGGCCAAGCAAGACATTTTCCTTTTCTGCATACTTGAAGTGCTTGGCATCTGTTTATATTGTTGCAAATGCTGAGATAAACTTCTAGGCTCCCTTCCCAAAGCGCCTGGAAGGAAACAATTGACACGTACTCTCAATGCACTGGGTTTCTGAGACATTTCCTACTCACCGGGGCAACAGAGCCTTTCCCATGAGAACCACTGACTACAAGTGGTAATGCCTGATAAATTTAACGTGACACACACACGCACTGCGCTATTATCCTGCGGCTTGGTGGAGGATGGGAAGCACAGAGCCGAGTGCTAAACTTCTGGTAATCCCGGTCCCGCTCAGCCGTAACTTTCTCTCGTATACCCGACACGGGCCAATTGGCAGTTTCCTCCTGCGGCCCCAACTGCATTCACAGCCTTTTCTGGGGTCTGCTCCCATTGCCCTCCCCGCTCTCCCCAGAAAAATGATTCGCCTGTGTGTGCATCTCATTAATTTTTAGAGCTGTTTTGGTTGACCAGAGGCATGTATTTCACAACACTAAAATCCCATAGGTAAGATGCACAGCAAGACCTGCAGGTCAAAGTGGCACCTCTTCTATTCGAAAGGACAGTGGTCGGTCCCCGCTTCCTTGAACTTACACCTGCTGTAGCTAAAACCCCTGCTGTAGCTACTACTCTTGAAGTTAGCTTCTTGTGCCTAAGGAGAAACTTTATTGTGCACCAAATTCAGAGCAAAATCAATTCATCTGATTATTAATAGAGCAAGAAGTAGTCATCACAAGAGAGGTATTTTTTCACCAGAAAAATTTTGATTGAAACCACATCTTTTGCTTTATTAAGAGCCATTAAAGAATAGCTCATGATTCAGAGTCCAGATTTAGATTTTGAGCACAGAAGACTCCCTCAGTCAGTTTTACTGGTGAAAACCCACTGATGTATTACCAAATTTAAGTTCTGTGAAATGCAGTATTCGCCCCCTGTCCTGCAAGAATATCTGTTCATCTCTTGTCTCCATCCTGGCTAAGCATGGTCTTGCTGATGCCCTGTGAATGAAACTATCTGAATCTCAAGTTGTGCAAGCCACACAAGCTCACATGCTGATGCCAGCAGTGCTCTCACAGCATGCATAAAAGAAATCAGCTCCAGACACCCTGCCTCATCGAGACAGGCCCCCAAGAA